ACAGTATTTGGCTCTACATATCTGTGTGAGCAGATTTTCTCTCACATGAGTCCTCAGGTAGCCGTCTGAATGCTGGACACTTATTAACACGTATTAACAAACATGCCACATTGACCCAGTTTATTTTTCTTATCATTGTTGTGAGGAGACCACAAATAGCATTTGTATTTTCTGTTGTACAGTTCATTTCCTGTTATGGAGTCTTTGTTATGGATAAAAAGTGTCTTTTTTTGTTTCAAAATAGCTGATAACTATTCACTGATAGCTGCCAACATGTGCGAACAAATATAATATAATATAAATAATAAAGTGGTTCTATGTAGTGTGTTAAAATAGAGTGTTATTAAATTTATTGCTAATGCAATCATATGGCACACTGACTTCTGAGGAAATTTTAGATGGCACTCCCGTGACATGTCCTCTTCCCAGTGTTAGTGTTCTTTGTCCCCACTCCTCAGTGTCTGAGCACACCACAATGCAGCAGACTAAACTTACTAACTGGCCAAGAGACTAACGTGAAGCTACGCAATGATCCAGCGTCTTTAGAGCTTTAGAGCTACTTTAGAGCTCCACCACACTCTAAAGTAGCTCCTCTGACGAGGCTTGATCAGCTGCAGGTGTGTGATGGTCTTCAGGTGTAGCCAACCACCTGGCAGGGCCACACCCACCAGGCCTGAAGGTGCCTGTAAACAGGTGCTCCCAGATACATTTGCATCCACACATACCAACACACACACACACACACACACACACACATACACCTGCAAGCAGGGAGAAACACACATGTCCATGATTGCTCAGGGACCCTGGGTCGCTCAGGTCCTCTGTATTCTTGTAGAATCTTTATCTTATAGTATATTACATCTTGAGACACTTACTGTAATATTTTGGTGCTATATGAATTGAATTATACTGAATAAAATTGGATAAATTACATAAAACCCTAAAGATGAATCTGCTGTGGTAGGACCTAAAGAGAGCTGTGCATAAACAAATGCTTGCAAACCTCAGTAAACTAAAGCAACACTGTAAAGAAGAGAGTGCCAACATTCATCAAAACAATGTGAGCAACTGACAAAGAGAGATATGAAATTGAAACAAAATATATTTACTCCAATTGCTTCAATTCACAAGCTGTTGAACCATGGCTGTTTATTTATATTTGTTTGACATTTTTATTTGCTGGTACGTGACATAAATAATTGTTTATGTTATGCTACATAATCTTCAATCACAGATGTGAATGTAAACAACTTTTTCCCATGATTTTACATGAGTGTAATCAAGAGAAGGGTTCATGTGTTGTTTCAAACCCTCATCAATGGGGTAGACATACTTTTTGACAAAGTGACTAGTGACAGTAGCTCATAGATTTCTTTTACCATATTTCTCTCAAGAAGAATGAATGTCATTAAACAACAGTACAAATAAAAATTTAAAGGCAAATCTGCACGGCATAACATAAACCAGTGACAATAACAAAAATACAACTCAATACTTTGTAACATAACCTTTGTTGGCAATAACAGAGGTCAAACGTTTACTATAGGTCTTTACCAGGTTTG